AAGCGTTAAGCACCCGTGACATCGGTTTAATAAAAAAAAAAAAAAAAAAAAAAAGTTAGTATAATGCAAATAATTACATAATTTTTTTAAAGCAAGTTAATAACCATATCTATCTTATATATTATTTGTATCATTCTAAAATATTTCCATTCAGTACAAAATAAAATGCTGCCCTTTTAAATAACAATGAAAAAAAAAATGATTATAAATACTTATAAATACTTTACAAAGAAAAAATCCTCACCAAAAAAAAAAAAAAACAAAAATATTACAGGAGTATATTGCTGAAGTTTTAGAAATTTTAGAAAGTACTGTTGGTCAGGTTATTTGTGAATGGAATAAAAATAAAGCCGGCAAATTTATTACATACAAACTAATTGGACAGCCTTTATTAAAACATAATCCTGATATCATTTCACTTTTGTATAAAAAAATTACTAGTGCAAATAAAAATAGAAGCCCTATTTCAACACCAGTTCTTCACCATTTTCTTGCTAAAAATAGGTTTATACTTTCTAAATAGCAACTTCTTCATGTACTGCATTCTTTGGGCTATTACTATGGTCATGGTGATCATAAAAATATATTGCATGAATCTCCAAATAATATATTATTCCAATATCAATATATTCGTTATTGCTTTTCAAATTTATAAAAAAAGGATATTCCAAAGCAACCTGAAATATTTTTGGATAAATTATACTGTCACCTCCACTATATAACATCCAATACTTGGGTTTCTCATAAAGGAGTTGTTTTAGAACCAGGTCATGGGCCACTTCTTGTAATTTTTGGAGCAATTACTATTTTTTGTAACAGAAATAATAATAAATTATATGGTGAGCTGGTCCTGGGTTCTATTAATATTTGGGATCCAACTATTAAAGCACCATCAAATAGAGGACAAAAACGATCTAACATAGAAGAATAGAATAGCATTCCAGATGCTGTTAAAGATTCTAAAATTGTATCTGATCAAGTAGATTATCATGGCAATTTTAATACTAATATTTTTGAATTTTTATTTACAAAATTATGTATTACACTTCAAGAAGAATATGGTGAAATGGATATTCACATGGATGGTGTGTGTTATCATAAATGGTGAGTTGAAGATATATCTACTTCTGCTTTAAGAAAATCAGTAATTTTGGACTTAATTGGCAAGGATATTATAGCTTCTTCTGACATATATAAAGCAGAACTTCTTGAGCTTGTAAAACAAAATAAAAAGCATGTTCTCTTTGCATTTGTAGAAATAGCTAAACAATATGGTCATCATGTTTTTTTTACTCCACCATACCACTGTGAACTTCAGTCAATTGAAGGTGTTTGGGCTGTTGTAAAAAATAAAGTGGTGATTTCAGGTCCGCATACAAATCTTCTTAAAATTAGAAATAAACTTCTCTGGGCTTTTAAAGAAAAGGTAAACTCTAAAGTTATTGTAGGTTTATAGCGAAAAGCACTTAATAATGCGAAAGATTACAAAAAAAAAGATCATAATATATTATTAATTAATGATAAAACTGATAATAAATCTTCATTTGAAGATTATATGGAATTAGATGAGTAAAATCTTAATAAAATTTATATTAAAATAGCAGCTAGTGTGGAACCTCGGGCAGACTACTTAAATAGGCAACCAAAAGTTGCAGGTATGGCTAGTCATACTCTCAC